AAAATATAAAAAAAAAGTTAGAGTAATGATTAAAATAAAAATATCTATTTCAGTCATTTTAGCATTAAAAGATCTTTTATAAAAAATTTTACCAAAACCTTAAATTAATTATAAAAATAAAGTTATATAAAAATATAAAAAAAATTAGTAGGAGTGATGGTTAAAATAAAAATATCTATTTCAGTCATTTTAGTATTAAAAGATATTTTATAAAAAATTTTACCAAATTACTTTTAACTCTACAAGTACTTTTATAAAAAATTTTACCAAACACTCTCAGTTTCTCAAAAACAACACTTCTACAACAAGTTTTTTCTAACAGCACTTCTATCAAAAGTTCCAGCCACACCAAACAGGCTCTAATATTAATTGTTCTATTAATTACTTGCCTCATTGTAATCCTCAAAGTTTAAGATTATTATTTGGTAGTCTAGACTTATCTTCTATTTTTAATAAAATAAATCACATCTTATCTCTAAGAAATCTTATGATATTATAACTAACGCTACTTCTTTTATTTGATTATTTTGCAACGTAAAAATTTACGTCTTTTTGCATTGAATTCTTTAAAAGATAATAAGATTTCATTCACTATATAATGATTTAGAGTTTCTATCACTTGTTACTTCAACCTCTCCTTTTGAAGATTATTTTTGTAGTGAAAACTATTATTATTGTCATATTTTAATAGTTGGTATAATTTTTCCGGAATTTCTCCCAAAGTTTTACCAATCAACCAAACTTTTGGGATGGCAATTCATCCTGTGACCCTGCAACCTATGGAGAAGCCTCACGGGAATTTTTGTCGGCAAAAGCATAAGAATAGCCCCTTACCTTGATAAGTTGGATGGTTTTGGCCCCTCACCTTATAACATAACGGTTTTAACCCCTAACCTATAAAAATGGAAGAAAATAGCCCATTTTTGTAACTTCCGTTTGTTGGGCTGTTACGTCCGTCACTTCCGTCCATTTCTCCGTTATCTTTCCGTTAACTTTCTCAAGCTTCTCCAAGAA